TATCGGTGAGGGTTAAAGAGCAGAGTTGCCCACCTGCTGCAATAATCTTTATCTACCAGATCCTGCTCTGAAGCAGGATGATGCAGCTTGTGCTAGTGAAAACATAGATCCTGAAGGCAATTTGTGCTCTATGCACATTTTACAGCAAGGTCATTCCTTGCTAGGAATCAGGCTCTTTAGTTCTATACTCATAGTCCAAAACAACTGGTCCTCCATCCCTTCCTCCCCTCTACTTTTTACCCTGCTGCTAGGGACAATTACTTATTTTTCCAAGGCATACTGCTTCCAAGTCATACTAATATCAGTTTAAAGTGGGTAAAGCATAGCGCAGCTCCCTCCACACCCTGTAAGGAATGGCTTCCACCTGCCCAGAGACAGCTGTATCCATAGAAAGTATCAAACAAAAAAATGAAAAGAATTTTTATGTCTGTTTATTATTTGGCAAAGTGCTTGGACATGGTGAAACCTTGTAGTACAGGAAAGCCTGCACAGTATCAGTATCAAGGGGGAAAAACATATTCATTTTATGAAATGAGTCTCTCAGAACTTTCCCTTGAATGTACCTGAAGTGCAGCTCAGCATCACAAGACTCTGCACACTCAAATTGCAAGAAACTAAGGTGGCGGTGGGCTAACAGACACACAGTCCATCCTTTTTCAGTAACTCCTAAAAACCACACTGGAATCCCAGGACCTCCATCAGAGAGGCTGGGGCAAAGAGATATCAATGTGATGCACTTAGAGAACAACACCTGTTGCATTTGAATTATCTGTACTGATCCAAAAAGGATAAAGGTCATAGGAACTAGCTTTTAGTCTCCAAGAGACATCATAACTACAAAATAACCAGGTCAACCCCAAGTTAAATGGCTGAGTGTATGAAATAAGATACTGAGCTAGCTCAGTCTACTCACAAGATACTTGCTCTTCTTGTCTATGTAACCAATGTGCAAAATGTCACCTGTACTATACAAGGTGTCTGACGGTGACAGAACATCTTCAGTGACTGGGTATTAAATCTTGTTAGAGCCACAGAGGAAGCCAATTTAAGCCACTTGATTAGTGACCAAAAGAAATAGTCACTTGACCAGATTCCGGAGGTCACCACTGCCCCAAAAAGAGTGGTGAAGAACTGCGACATTAACTGAGGATCTGTCAGAACCAAAGGCAAAAATAAAATAAAAATTTCAAAACCACAGCATGATCCATTGAGAGTGACAAGAACTCACTATCCCTCAGACATGTTCAGATACATAAGTGTAGTAGTGAAGTTGCATCAACAGATCCAAGGCACTGACACACCTTATTACTACTGCAGTTCCAAGTAACACAGATCACTTTAGGTACAACCAGCACCTTCTGGTATAATTTTCACAGATGATACTATTATCCTAGCATGTTATTCACACCTAGAAACTAAAGCAGTTACTCATGGCTGAGAACAGACACACAGTACAATTACGAGCATGAAGCACTGAAAAAGGCTTGGCTTTAAGAAGTCAGTCTGTGCCTGTTTGTTCAATGGAACAAGACAAATTGCTTCAAAAAAGCTAAGACCTAGCTTTATCTCCAAATTAAGTGTCCTTAAATTGCTGCAGCCACATTTTACTGCAAGTTAATTCTTGTACCACATATCAGGGAGCATCATTCAAGACTGGGTTTTGGAAGTCAGAACTGCCAGGCAGAACAGAGTTGTTTTGCTTCCATTCCCCTCTGGATAGTGCAACTGATTGCTTGTACTGAGAAGGTACACTTGCCTCATGCTTTTGCCAAGCATATGTATGGACACCACCTTCGTCAAAAAGAAACCAGAATATATGTGCTCATATATAAGAACTTTCATGTTTGTAAAAGTTTGAGATGAAAATAACAAGGCAAACATTTCTCCCATCTAAACATAGGCTCTTGTACTTGTCTTCAGCTGCTGTGAGAGATTTGGCAGCGTAAATTCAGACCTGAGTGTCTATCATTTATATGGAAAAATTCTACTGCAAACAAGATAGGACATCAGCACTTTGCTTTCCATTTAAAAAAAGAAATCTGGCTTTAAGGATTGCAATTGTCAAAGACTAACTAAAAGCACCACTGTGTAGGTAAGAAGCTGAGAAATCTCACAAAATTAAACTGAACTGACAACAGCTGACGGGTAAGAATCACACCCACAGAATTTTAAGACCTTTTCGGCACATGGCAATCTATGTCCATCTCCGAGTCATTTCTAAACCAACAACCAGTTCCACAGCAAGTAATGCCAGCACAGACACACAATATGCAAGAACAGCCAACAGTCAGCCAAACCAGCTCTATGCAGTCAGCACAGGCTAAAGCTGGTCCAAGGGTTTGTCTATTATCACATCCTTCGGTGTGTTTGAATTCCATAGATGTAATACAAAGGTTATTTTTAGCGACTAATGTAGTTTGACACTGAGAAGCTTGAGAGCCTCTTTTTTGTAATCAAGTAGGAAGAAACCTGCAGCAGTACAGGCCTATCATAAAAAAGCACTGCTATGCTTGTTTCCTTTGCAAGGCCATTAAAAAAAAAATTTCAAAGTCAACCCTGACCTTCCTTGTTTTATCTCTAGGTGAACAGACCCAGTAAAGTGATAAATGAAGAGGCAGGTAAGTCTGTAGTTGCTTCTGTTTCAGTGCTACGAAGGTCCAATGTGCCTGAAAATCTGCCCCTTCTTTTCTCAGAACTGGTTTAATAAGATATTATTTGTCTAAAAGTTATCTATCCCTTCCTTCTCATTAGGCCATCAAAGTTTCTCTACCTTCTGAACTTTTATAACAAAACTACTGAAGCAAGAAGTTAAGGCCTTTAGGAGCATGTTCCAGCAACTAACTCTTCCTCTTACAAATCCCCTGATCTGCTTAGTGGACTATAAAAATCATGCTTTAAATACACAGTTACACAAGGACATAGAAAAAGAAATATTTGAAGAATACTGTTCTTTATCTTGAGGATTTCTAAAGCCTGTTTCAGTGCTGAACAAACAAAAGGTATCAACCAGGGGAACAATACTGTTTTCTTACATCAGATCACATAAAGGAAGATCTGAGCAGCACTACAGACTTGACTACTATTTACTCAATCACAATTGGCAGTTTAGAAACAAAAATTGTGCCTTTATTGAAAAGATTTTCTATTCCCCCCCACCTGTTATTCCACACATACTAGCTGTCAGCCTTATCAGACATGCCACCTACTATACTGCTGGAAGAACAGTCATGGAAGGGGATCTGTGACACCAGAATTAAACCTGTTGGTACATGCTTCACTTTCTTCATGCACAAACTCAAATAAGACAAACTAAAGGCTCTGGGAACTTCCTTTGCCAATGCACAGGTCTGATGGGAATTGCCTAAACCTGCAGCCAGCTTCTACTCCATCTATAAATTACTGCATTATAGAGTAGGAATGGATTCCAATTCTAGCTGATGCATCATCATATGGATTATCACATGGTAAGAACCAGTCAGACTAAGGGAATCTATGTCATTTTCTGACACAGCAGACTCGGGTTGAGATTGTACTAACAATTTATACATAGCCTCATTATTCAATACTGATTTTTTCAAATTACTAGTCTCATGCTTGCTACCACAGCTAAGAATAAAACCTATGGAAACATGATTGGTTACTAGCTTGATAACCTGGAAAACTAGAGTCAGAGTAATGTGTAGAATTAACTTGTAATTCTGCATAAAATCAAGTTGTAATCCTTTAACAAAGTGTAACTCCCACTGTAATTCTCCAAGATCCAAACAGTTTTCATATAATAAACAACATATTCTAAATACCTGAGTCCAAATGGTGTATTTGGCTGCAATTTCAAACTCCCCCACCCTTACCCTTCACAACTTTTTTCTAGCACAGATCAAAAACAATTAGGGGACTAAATTTAGTAATATTTGTTTTGTGTTTTAACTAGCAACACAAGCTGAAGGATACAGCATAATATTAACAGAGTTTTATTTTCATTAGAAACAACCAAGAAAGAACATCTTTAGAATTACCTCCAGCTGCTGAAAAGCTCACAGAGTAGCACAAAACCACAGCATTTCTGAGGTATATATAAATACAGGTATCAACCTGCCAACTTATTTTCACCACTTATTCTTTCACAGAAAACTACTTCACTAAAAGGAAGCTGGCAGGAAGGGCAGAGCGAAAAATAAAGAAAGCTTAATTCTATGTTTAAAGGCAAGACAGAAATGTAGACTTCCATTCAGGGAAAGCATGTTTACTGGAATGCTCTTTCCTCGATTAAAAAAGGATGCTTTTCAAATGGTTGTGATGACAAAAAATATGCAAGGAACCATACCTGCTTTCTAGGCTTAGCCTGTCACAGTACAACAGTACAAACAGTACTGTTGAGTTCATTGCCTGAATCATCCTGCTAATTGGGAAAACGCTGAAGTTCATCCTACTCCCTCAATTACTCACATACTATTTAAATGGCCACACACTCATATTCACTAATGTGAAGACAGCTTTGTTTACGGTGACGTATTTGTTACTCACCTAATTATATAAAGGTGGAATAAGCCGAGACCTTCATTCAGTAGTGTCAACAAAGAGCTTAATCAAGAAACAGCATATAGAACCAACGCTATCCTCAAGTTCCTTCATGAACTACTTAAGAAAGTGAGGGCAGAGGTGCATCAAACTGTGTACCACATGCAGGTGGTTACACAGAGTAGCCCAACATAAGACGTGCTCCTTACTGCTGTTCCCAGATCCCAGGGAGGAACGGCCAGAGAGAAGCACGCTCCAAGCTCTCAGAGAGAGTCAGACCAGAAGAACAAGCTGTTACACCAAACCAAAGTAGTTATTTCTGGCCTTTCAGTTTGTTAACCACCAAGACCACAAGCAACCATTTAGGACTGGAAATGGCAAAATTCAATGCTTAATGAAAAAAAAAAAAAAAAGTCCTATGATGTCAACAAAGCTACTAATGTAATTTGTATCACTACACGTGAGGCTCATTAAACACTTACCAAGGCAAGATTTCTGCACCTAGCTTGGCTGCCGTGATTCTCCACACTGCCATCCCTCTCCACGCTCCCACGTGCGTGCTTTGGAGAGATTTCAGATGCCATTTCAGGAGAATCCAAGATGAGATTTCTAGGCATCACACTCTCTTGACTTATCGATCCCGATGCAGCGTAGAATGTCATCAGCGTATTATGTAGGGCTGTTAGCTTTATTCATTTCTGAAAACAGAGAATAACATGGTACATTTAAATCTGGCTTTTAAAATGCTTGAAAGCAAATGGAAAATAAATAGTAAAAAAAATTCCTACACAAGTTAATAGAAGGCCTATCTTTATACTCTAGAACAGGTCTACCATGGGCATCTTTTAAAAAGATTGGTCTTATTCTGAAAGGTGACTTCAAAAATGCAACATAAGAAGGTTCTGTATCCCCATCTTGTGTGCTTCCACACCAGATGTCTACAATTACAATCATCAACTAGGTACACATACCTGTCCTACAGATTTGACACAGTAACAAAAACCCCTCAGCTGAGATATCAACTGACCCAGTTCAAATACCTTCATCTTTTATTAGCTTTTAGACAAGCATTCTATTTATCAGATCACATGAGGAAAACAGAAACCAGTTTATTTCCTAAAATTGCTGCAGTTAACACTCATGTGTTACTGAAGCAGCTCTATGCCAACTACTTCTGGGGGAAGATCCATGAACAGAACTTAATGCCATTTTTGCACCATCACATTACATAGCAAAATTGAGTTTTAAAGCTTACAGAGACTTTATTTCACTCAGCCATGAAGAAACAGTGCTTGTACACTTGGAAGATGCTTACTGAAGCAGACATATGCACCAGCACTTAATGGAGCAAAAGTCCCCAGTTTAATCTACCCTAGTGCTTGGTTCTGTATTATCTCTCTGAATCGTCATCATCTCCCAAAACACTCTGGCAGAATTTCTTCCTTTATTCTCAAAGTATCACAAATATGAAAGTCACCCTTGTGCACTAACAGCACAAACAGAGAGTGGGTAAAACGTAGAACCTAGCTCATTTCTCTCTTCAGTATATTAAAACATTCTTGGCAACAAGAAATTGCCTTGTTCTTTAACAGTCCATCTTTTCACCCACCCTGCCTGTGACCAGGAAGCAGCTGTGACACATTCCTCAAAACAGTTGGCTCTGAGTTACCACATTATATGCAACCAGCTGGGAACAGATACCATTACCCTGACGGTGTACAAATGAAATGAGATGGTCCTGCTTCCCAAGTGCTTCTCCCTTTATTATGGTTCAAGAGGTGACATGAGAAGCAAAGTCACGTCTGCATTTCCAATTCAATTGGATTACTTCTCCTTCCTCCCTACCCCTGTCAACCGAGGGCTGAGAAACCAGAGCCTCCTGGTAAGCTGATTAGTGTTTCATAGCAGAGAGATAACATCTGCCAATACTGAGCAACAATTCCATCCTGCTGATCGTTTCCTCCCAGAAGGGGGCTATGACATTACCACAGGTACGTACAAACGCTCCCTCCTCTACACTCTAGCACCAGTGTGTTCTGTGGGAAGGCTCCCACACAACATCGCCAGGCTGCAGTCCAGCGAGTCTTGGAAGCACAATCCACATCAACAGAGAACTGAACTGCACACTAAAAGCATCTGATAGCCTTTCTTATGAACATTAGGTCTACCGATTAAGATTTAGCCTTGATTTTACATAAAAAGAACATTCTTCCTTTCTTCTATTAATAAGATTAGCTATAAATAAATACAATGCACCCTCATGATAATGGTTTTTAAGCAATACCACAGAGGTAGAAACGTGCTCTTGGTCCTGATTTTCAGACAGCCATGAGAGCACTGCAGCAGCTGCTCTACCTTTGGTTGCCGCATACCCAGGCTCAAACCAAAAAGCTCTGCTGCGGGTTTAACTAGAAAATAGCAGCCCGAGTCTAGAACACACCCTGCAACAGCAGCTCCATCTACAACAAACCCTGTGGCACTGAATAGCCACACACAAACAAGAAAATATATATGGTTTTTAGAAGGCAAGACTATGAGAAAGTGTCTTGACACCTCTGAAATTCACAGAAAACTCCCACTGACTTCACATTTCATCCCATGACTTTCAAGATGATCTTCAGATGGAAAAGAGTATTTTTCTAAGGAGGGATGAGCAAGAGGCAAGTGCTCCTACTGACATCCAGCATAAGGTATCATTTCTTATCAGGTGCAAGCATCAATTTTTATCCAGGTGTCCTTAGTATAAACTGGACACGTTTGTTCAGTCCCTTAGTGATATATTAGCTAAAAGATTTCTAGAACTATTCTCAAAACTGTTTGTGAACATTTTATAGACTACATTATGAGAGGTCATAGCTCCAGATTACAACAGATATCAGAGACAAGACCCACATTTAAAGACTAACCACATGAAGTTATTAATCCAAGTTACCAAGAAACCAATCAGTGGGCCAAAACTCTGAGGGAAAAGAAAATATTTAAGAATACTGTTTTGCTAGAAGCAAAACCTTAGCCTACCCAGGTCTAAGCTTCATAGCAGGCTATCCACATCCAGGACAAGGGGAACACCCAGATTCAGTAGCAATAAACATGACAGCCACAAGTACTAAATAACAACAAATAACTCTGCTTCCATCAAGCTCCTGTTACTCATTTTGGAGTGCAGACGTTTCACAAAGCTCCTGAACAAAGAATAAAGGCAGTGACTGCAACTGGTTAAGAGAGCCACCCACACAAGATCAAGTAGCAAGCATTATGGCGCTGGTTCTGCTTTGTGTTGTAAGCCACGATTTCTTTGGAGGTTTTACTCATTTCAGAAAAGCTCGGGAGCTGTGGGATAGAGCCTATGAGCCTGCAGAAAGGTGGGGGGGGGGAAAGATCATTTTCCCTTCTATCTTTCACATCATCTTTAACACTTCAAGGGTACACATTAATAAGATCATAACCCATTCATATACATTATTACTTCTCCCCTTTGCTGTGTTTTTTTTTATGCTTTAAGGGAGAAATTCCTACATATTTGTACAGTGCCTAGTGCAGCAACAGCTGATGTGAGGTTGCCCGGCAGGGCTGCAATACATACGGAATGCTTTACAGACAAATTCCCCTCCTAACCATGGAGAGGTCCCTTCACTCGTTTTATGTCCCCTCTATTAAGTGAAAGACTTTGTGGATTTAAGATAGAAATAGCCACGAACCTAATGAATCTCAAGACCACCCCACTGCCTGTTTCAGTAGGATTGCCTAGGTAACAAGCAAGGGTTCAAAAATAAGGTAACAATCCTCAGAGAGCAAGAACAGCAGGACAACAGGCAGCTGTTCCTCCTGACCTTCAGAGATGCATTAAATATGAAAGTTGCTCACAACAGGATTTGTTGCTTGGTCTATTCAATGCATTGCAGTAGGTTGGTTTTTTGGGTTTGTGGGTTTTGTTTTTTTTTTGCTTTAAGAGATGTGTGCCTGTACCATTAGGGATTAATAAAAAAAAGCAGACCATGATACAAGAATGCAGAAGTGTGACAGGAACAATACTATTTGGAGAGAAGATCCCAAATATTAAATCAAAAAGGCATCTTAGGGCAGATATGATTGTATCAGCTGAAATGATCACTTCTTGGTTACACCAGAGCTAGCCTTCCCAAGATATTTAAAACACAATTCACATATCATGCATGTTTGTCAGAGGGCAGTAAGAGGAAATTGAAATATTTTGAAGTTAACGTGGAATTTCACTTCCAAAGATTTAATTTTGCTTTGACAGAGACACATAATTCAGAGACTGTATTAAGTTGCCATCAGAGATACGGTGCAGTCCAGCCTTTTAAGAAGGATGTTTTTATAGTTTTGCTGACTCAGATTACTTTTCCACTGAAGTTCAATGTTAGCATTTACAAGCAACTGTTTCTGTAATAGCAGGAGATTGAGAAAATTGTTTAACAATCCTATCTGAAGACTAGCTCAATAGGCAAAAAGATCAATCCTACAAAAATGGAAGACATTTAGAGGCTAAAAGTCAACCACTGCATAAGCCAGGAGCTGAAAGCCAGCAAACAGACAGCATCATGCCATTTACTGCACAGTGTATTTAAGGTAAGTAGAGTCAACAATTTTTAGAAAGTTATCATGCATTTTTAAAAGGGCACAATATCAGTCTCTCCCTCCCTTCACTACCCATACAATTTCTAGAATGCTCTCTCCCTGAACCATTTCTTAAGTTTGATTTCTAAGCCTAGGATGTACTCTGAGCATCACACACCCTTTGCCTGTCCTTGAACAGCTCAGTGATGAACTGAAACAGAAAAACTGGCCAGTGAACTTCAAGGTTTGTTTAATCCATCAGCTGTATACAGACATACCAATGCATACACTCAGCTCTGCGTACATTGTTAGTCATTTGCACTCCATGGTGGTGCTTGAGTTTGGAGACTTAAGCATCTGGAAAAAACATCTGAAAGTACTCTGAGGTAATTTGAAGTGTTATTTGGGGATAAGTTTTATAAAAATTATAGTACTGGGGCAGACTAGAGACCTGTACCTCTATGAGCCTCTGACAAATGCTGATGCTGAGGGAAGAGTTTGTAAAACAAGGCAAGCAGAGAACAGGAATTAATCAGATTCATGCACATTGTGGTCAGGAGACCACAGGGCTTCCCAAAACTGGCCAGGTATTTGTGTCTAATAACCTGATGAATTTCTCCTTGTATTAGGTGCTCCTGCAACACACCTTTCAACCTGCTTGTGCAAAATCACAGCAAACCAACCAACTGGCCTGTGACATGTCTTCACTGAGCCACTGCTGGTACAGACTCCTCATAACTAATTGATCCAGTACAGTGGACACCTTTCCTCCTTATGTGCAGAGCTACTGACAACTGAATTCTTCTCACCTCCTTCAGTGTATGAAATAAATTCTTGAGCTTTAGAGGTAATCCATGTCCTACTCTTGTGATATACAGTAAGATTTAAGCTTTCTGGTAGAAGAATAGACTGTCAGTACTGCAAAGGACAATGTTTGTCCTACAAAGGACAAACCTCACAGGCAAGTTGACTAACTCTAGAGACACACAGGATGGCTGAAGAGGTATTGCTTTGAGCACATAAAACCCCAGAATCAGACAGTACATTTGCAAGTTGTTCTTACAGGAAAAAGTCAAAAAACCCTTGAAATAACAATTGACAATGCTTGATGTTTA